CGTTTGCCTTTTGGATAGAAAGGGAAGTGTAAAAGACACTGATTTCTACTATCGTTCTGTTTTTTTCTCTTATCGGGCAGTTCTATGTCTGGTGTTAGTAGTACGATTATCATCAGTAATATGCTAGCAATTGCAGACAGATAGACAGTTATCGTATGTTCTGACATTTTTTTTTGCTTTTTTTCTCTCTCTCTCTCTCTCGTTTTTTTAGAGACATATCCACCCAAAGTTCTAATAAAAACTCGTCTAGATAAAGCAATTTTATCAAAAGATTATTTTCTTCAATGCAATTCACGTGGTAATCCATTACCTCGTTTATTATGGAGTAAAAAAAATGATAAAAACGATACATTAGAATATTATCCATTATCTAAACAATGTAAAACATCATGTCGAATTTATTCTATACAACATAAGTACAGTGAAATTGTCTCATTAATAATTAATTTCTATTTTAAAGTTTTTTTTTTTTAAAGATATCAATCAATTTTATATTTTCGACCATTAATACTCGATGATATTGGAATTTATATTTGTCGTAAGATTTTAGAGATTTTTTTCTTTCAAAAGAAACGTTTCTTTTTTTTTATTGTTTTAGATGCAGAAAATCCAATGAATCGTACAACAACTAGTGTTTATTTAAATATTGATGATGATCATCATTATCAATCGAATATAAATTTAACATGTTCTAGTTTAAAATATTGTCATGATCGAGGACAATGTATTATTATTAATAATCAAATAAAATGTGTGTAAGTATAAATATTTTTATATTGACAAGTTTGTTTTTCTTTGATTGATTAAAATTCTATTGGAATGTTATTTGTTTTTGTATATTAGTTGTGACAATCGATATTTTGGTGAACAATGTGAAACAAGTTATGATGATATTATAAAAAAACAAGATTGTAAAAATAATTAAATTTTCGAAAAAAAAAAATAAATAAATAAATAAAACTAATCATATCTAATAATGATTATTTTTCTTTTTATTTCTAGCTGCTATTCTTTTATTTCAATCTCGATTTTTGGCTGGTTGTATTCTTTTTTCAATTGGATTTGTACTTTTATTAATTGCAATTATATCTTGGTTTCTTGCAAGAAATAATAGACAACAACAACAAAAATTGAGAAAAAAATTATTAGCAAAAAAAATCAACTGAAAAACCACTTATTATACCTCCTAAAGAAACGAATCCTTCAACGGAAATTAATGGTACCATTCCATCATCTACTCCAATTGAGCAAATAAATAAACTTCCTAGTCGTACTCCTCCTCCTCAAGCTAGTACTCACATTAGCCGTTTACCCATATTAGAAAAAAAACCATTAATACGTCCTTTTATTCGACAGCCAAATATGCCAACAGCATTAACAAGAGAATCATCGATTGCAACAGATGATGATGATGATGATGATGGTGATGGAATAAACAGTTTTCTACGTCATTATCAAACATTACCACCTGTACCAACAAAAATAGATGAAGAATATGAAGAACGTTTTTCTTTAAAAATGAATAAATCTGAAGAACTTGGTCTTGGTTATTTAACAAATGGAACAAATAATAATGAACATATATTTTCACATAGTTATGTTGATTATTATCAACCAAATAATCAAACAGGTTTAATTAAACCATTAAATATACGAAAAGATCAACCACAACGTTATACAAAATATGTTTCATCATATAGTAAATTTGTTTTACCTCGACCAGTCAAATTATCATCAATAGAATATTAACAATAATAATGTTTCTTAGTTATTATTTTGTTTTTTTCTTAATAATGTTTCTTTTGTATTTACATATTTTGACTTATCTAGAAAGATATGTTTTCTTTTGTTTTTCTTTCTCGCTATATATACATGTCATGTGTGCTGTTTTTTTTTGTTTCCTTCAAGAATTCTAGATATTTCTTATATTGAAATATATACATTTTGAATGAATAAAGGAATTCATATATATGATAAATAAATATTAATAAGAAATTTCGAGAAAAAAAGAATATATATTCATATATCTTGATCAAATGAATTAATAATATACATTATACAATATTTAGATTGTTTGTTTGGTTTATATTACTCTGTTTAACATGTAAACACTTGTAGTTTTCAATGATAAATATCAGTTTTCAAGGTTTATTTTTCAGAATATTAATGTAAATTATAATGATCATTTCACTATCATATAGAAGATATATATATTCAATTAATTGATGTCTACACTAGAATTACTAGCAGGGGAGTGGATATAACCTTGATAAATCGACAACGGCAATAATTAGCAAGTCGCGCTTTTTCATCAATTGAAAGAAAAGAATTCCGGACGTTTTGTTATCTGATATAATACAAGAGAAAACTATTTTTATGTTATCAAATTTTAATAAAAGTCAAGTGATTTAGATCCAAAAAAAAAATTAGGAATCAAATATTTGTTACGTCTTCAACAGTGTTTTATCCAACATATGAGCTGAGAAAATGGCGATGCTTCTCCGAAAATCAAGTTGGTTCCTCAGAGTTCGTGGTTATTGTACTGTATTCCTAAAAAAAAAGTGATATTTGCCTTTTCGGAAGAGAAAATCTTGACAAAACACTGACCTATGATTCAAACTATTATAGACTAATGCAAATAAATTCTATAATAACTTTGAATTTCTTAATTAAAGGCAAAAGATAACATATGTTTAATTTGAACAATATATTTTGATTTTTGCTTCTTTTATTTAATATTCATATTATAATTCTGAATGCAATGACTATAACGAATAAGATTAAAAAAGAAAATAAAAATGAATAAATATTATTTTCGATTTATTGAATCATGATATTAATTTTTAATCAATTGATCATATTTTCAAAATATTTCTTTTTTTTTGTTTGGTTATATTATTCATATATATATAAGAGAGAGAAGAAAGAAAAAAAAAATAGAGAACCTTTTCTATCTACTAATAAAAATGCATGACGATCAATCGAAGTGGTTGTCAATTGAGGTTGTCATCAATGCCGAAGAAACGTCGACGATTCAATTATAAAAAGCTGTCGTTGTATTTTACTTCTTTCTTTCTCTTTCTTTTGATCAACGAGTTGTGGTTTATTATCGGGTAATATTGCGTGTATATTTTTTTTTTTTTAGTTGTTCCTTACTATGAACAGATTCTATTATCGTTCGCATTCGCAATGACTTGCATGCTTATCTGCACACGCTTGTATGATGTTCAAAAAAACAAAAAAAAAAACAAACGACAAAAGCGAGAAGGATCGTTCAATGCCAAATACTGCTGTTTTACAATGTTCTCGAATTTGTTTCTTTCTTCTTTATATTCTTGTTCCGGACGTTAGCAAACTTGTTAGTTGTTGTCAACAAAAGAGAACAACAGCGAAAGACAGAGAGAAAGGCTAACAACAGCAAAGCATCTTCTAATCTTTTATGAGATGTGACATGAGCTTGTGTTCTTGTTTTTTATCATCATAGTAATCGTATTTTTTTTTTTATTGTTTGTGTTGTTGTGTCGGTAAAATTAAAAACCGATAGAGAGATGATACTAATGTTTTCTATCTCATGTACATATACATCGGATTGACCTATGTTATATCATCATTACATGTTATACTCGCTTTAATGAGTATTATTATTGGTATTATTTCACAAAGTCGAGAACCTATTTGGATGGCACATAGTATATCACCATTATGGAGTGGTGTTTTTGTAAAGAATCTTTTTGTTTTTTTTTATATATATATTTCTTCTTATAATTAATTCTTTTATATTTATTATAGTTTGCACTTTGTGGTACTACAGGAATAATATGTACACGTCATAAAGGTCTCTATTTGGTAAATTAAAAATGAATTAATAAATCAATAAAAGAAATTTTTCTTTTTTTTGTTTTAGATATTATGCTATGTAGCAATAAGTATTGTAACACTTATGGTTGATTGTGTTAATATTCAATTACTACGTTTAGGTCTTGTTAATATAATGACTGATGGACAAGCTTATTTAAAAGAAGAAAAAGATTTACTTGTATTTATTGCATTAATTATATCATTAATTGAATGTTTAATATGTTTATTAAGTATATTTATTGGTATACGATTATCATTTGATGCAGCTAATAGCAAATTTCGTAAAAAAGAAGGACTATTTTTTGTTCAAATATTATCCGAAAAAGATATTATTGTCGTATCAAAACCATCATTATCATCAAAACAATCTGTTTCAGTTCGTGAATCTGTTCAATCATTCGATTGATTATCAATATGACAATATATATATATATATATTTCTTTCTTCCGCTAAGTTCTTTTTTCTTTTTTTTTGTATTCAAAATAAGAAAAACTCTATATCACGCTTAAATTGTTAAATGACAAATTTATACTATATTTTGTTGTTTGTATGCAAAAAAAACCAAATTCGTATAGAGAAAAATCAGTCATGCAGATATGAATTTAAAAGAAACAAAAAATTTTTTTATATTCGACGATAAATATCACCTATTACATATGTTCAAGTGTATATAACATAGATGAGTATGTCTTAAGATATAATAAAGGTCATTCTAAGAGGCTACAACAAGTAATATGTTTTTTTTTTACACTACTTGAACTGATAAACAAAAAAATGTGTCCTTAATAATCATTAGTTTATCATATAAAAATAATTTTATAAACTATTAAAGAAGAATTGATTTAAAAACCTATTCTCGAATATTATCAAGTTTTATAATATTAAATAAGATTTTATTTTCATTATTCATAAATTTTAAACTTAACTAAATATTTATTTGATTATATATAAAATATCTAATTCGAACAAGAAGAATATTTTATTTTAAATACAAATATTTTTTTTTTTTTGTTTATTTTCAACATAAAAAAAAGGAAGTCACTCGTTCGCTTGACATTATAAAGTCTTTTTTGTTTTTTCGACTTTGATCATGATTATATTAGTTCGACAGAAATATATTCCAAAACAAAAAAAGATTTTTCTATAGATTTATTTTTTTGATTGTTGTATTGGAATAATCCTAGAAAATAAATTAATAGTTATTTTATCTATTATAATAAATTTTACTTCAAGTTGATGTGCAACATGTAGATTATGTTTCATTGTATCTGGACGTCGACCACCTCGTTTTGATGATTTTGTTGGTAATTGCTAAAATAATTTTAAATAAAATTTAATAAAACAAAAGAAAAGATATAAAATTAAATATACAACCTGTCGTGGTATATTCTTTGTTAAACCATAATGTCCTTGATTATCAAGAAATTCCCATATTTTTTTATCATCTAAACCTTCAACTGATATTTTTCTCCATGATTCAATAAATTCTGGATTAACACGAAGATTATATGCACGATCCGTATAGAATAAAACATCTTTTTTATTACTTGTTACTTTTACAATATCACCATTTTTTATTAAACTCTAAATAAAAAAAGAAAATTATACAAAAAAAAACAAATATAATTTTTTTTTTATAATACATCAATTATACTATCAGCTTTTGCTTTTGGTATTGTATCTCGTACATCATCAACAGTTACAGCACCTTCACATTTTTCATGTCGATTTTTTATAAGATTAAGAAGATGTATTTTTTTTGGAGCTTTTAAGTCAAGTGGAGGTTTATATACAAATTTATTAACATCATCAACTTTTTTAACATCAATTTTTTCATTTGATAAAAGTGCCTAAATTAAAATCATATATATATATATATAGATTTAAAATTTATAATAAATAAAAATAAACTTCAGAAGCAAGCCAATGTTTATCTGATGGATCTATAGTAAGATCAGATTCTGCTATTATTTCATCTAATGTTATTGCATCAATTTGTCCACCAAGAAAACGTTCCTAAAAATAATATTTAATATTAAAATAAAGTTTTATATTACTTAACATATGAGAATATTTTTACATTGTTTATTAACTCTATCAATAATATCATCTGTTTTTTTAGTACTGTCAATATTAGTTATCAATTTTTATTTTTCTTTATAAATTTATCTTTCTTTTGTTTTTTTCAAATTATAAAAAAATTCATCGAACTAAAAACAAAGAAGAGCAGGAAGAAAAAAAAACCATGTGAAGGTACTTTGTGTAAATCTTAGTACTATCAGTCGAAGAATGATTCAGGACAAGTTATTGATAGATTATTTATTTCGATAGTATGAGGAGCTCTACATCAGACTAGATTTTTATTTAGAGCTACAGTTAGTATTGCAATCTAAAATAGAGACCTGATGACTCGTAAAATATTGTGAAAGTTTTAGATACAAAGAATATTTCTTTGTCAATAAATATTCAATTTCTAAATAAACTTGATTTTTATGACACGTATATAGCAAATGACTATTTGTTGTGAAAACTCAATACCTGGATACATGAACACTTTGTTTTTGACTAAAACTTTTAGAATATTCTGAGGATTATGAAATTTATCTTCAGATGGAGTAAAAACGATCATAACTTCAAGAGGTCAGAACGAGGGGGGAGTATCCAAAAATCGGAGAAAATAGCCTAAAATTTGTCCGATTAACATCTAGTCTTATTATTTATTTACTTGTAATTTTTCGACAATATTTGTAAGTGTTAAAAATCTTGATTTTGATGAAGTACTTGATATATGATAATCACTTGTAAAATCTAAAAAAAAAAAAAAAAAGTAATTTTTCTATCTAATATAAAATATAACAATAATTAACCTGATGATGTTTTTGATCGACCAAATGTAGGTTTTGGTCGATTTGTTTTTTGTGATGATGATGATGATGATAATTTTTCAATTTTTTGACGTTTTTCATTTGATATTGTAAAAGCTGATGCATCTTTTTGTCGTTTAAGAAAATTTTCACGTTCTTTAAATAATGATGCTGATGAAGAAGATGTCATTATCATACAAAAAAATCTAAAATTCATATATTTTTTTAATAGATCAATTTCATTTAAATATTAAATAAAAGAACAAAACAAAATAGATGAATATTTAATATACATTTAAAAGAAACAACAACAACATTAAAAGAAATATTTCAAATATTTTGATTAAATATATTTTACTTTAATAAATATACTCGCAAACAAAAACAAAAAAAAAACGGCCAGCCGATAGATGTTAATTTTGTTTTGAATTAATATAAACAAAAAAAAGCAAAGAAATTATTTATTTTTTGGTTCTCAACATTTTGTTTTTTTTCTTCTTCCAAAGCATAAAGATGACAAAAAAAAAAAACTGAAGCAGCACAGCAGCCAAAAATGAGAAATAAAAAGATATGAAGATATCACCGGCATTGGTTTTTTTTTTCTTTTCAAAATATTGTTTTTGTTTTGATAAATATCACCGGACGGGGAAAACGACAATAAATAAAAAACAACAAGAGCAATAACAACAATAAAAGCGCGACTTAATATTAAAGAAAACAAAACAAAAAAAAGAAGCTATATAAATGAATGTACCCGACACTCAAAAGAAAATAATATACATGAGAAAAAAATGTCTTTTATACTGATTTTTAATAATTAATTAATCATTTATTCAGTATCTGTTGAAGATATTTTTATATTTGAAGAATCTTCATTATGATTAATTGATGTATCTTTAATGAAAAAAAAAAAAAAAAATTTCTAATAAATTTATTCAAAATTAAAACTTACTATCATCATTCATAGCACTTTCAGTAACTTGAAGAAAAAATTTTTCAAATTCTGTAGGATTATGATATGTTTGTTTATCATTTGATGATGATAATGTTTTTATTGAATTATTATCATTTCCTTCAATAAGATATTTATTGATTATTAATTCAACAAAAAAAATTTTTTTTTTTTTTTACCATAGAAAATAGATGAATTTGTATCTGAATAAGATTTTTGAATTAATAATTCATTATTTGAATTTATTGTTGTTGATATTGGTGTATTAATTAAATATTTTTGTGATGAATATGGTGTTAATGTCATACCATAAGTTGATTGTTGTGATGATGATGATGATGTTTGTTTTGTATTATATGAACGAATTTTATTTGGATCACTATATGTTTTACATAATTTTGTTTTATCATTAGAATTTATTTCACCATATGGATCAATACTTTTTTTTCTTGTTAATAATTGATGTTGATTTGTAGATAAATATGTATTATTATTATTATTTGTATTTGATGGTGTTGTTTTTATATAATTAAATGATGGACGAAAATTTCCAGTACCATTACCATTACGTTCAATTAAAAATGGTGTTGTTTGATGATTTATTAATTGTTCTTGTAATGATGGTGTTGATGTTATTGATAAATGATTTGTTAATATTGTTGAATCATTATAATAATCATCATTTATAGAAAACATTAATGTTGGTGATTTAATTGTATGTCGATTTGATTCTATTGAATTATTTCCATTTTGATTTAATAATTCTAAATTATGTTGTCTTGATAATGGTATTGAATTATTATTATTATAATTTGAAAAATATGAACATGTACTTTTTATATTTCGTACTGTTGGTCGTGATATTTGTGTTGTATTTATATTACCCATACTTGTTTGTGGTTTAAGTTGTACACGACGATTTAATGATGTTGATGATGATTGCATTGATTTAAAATCAATTTTACCTGATGTTTGTAATTTATTACATAATGGACCACGCCAATGTAATAATGTATGACGTTGATCAGCTGAAAAAGCTTCATGTTTATAACAACGATCAAATAAACCAACTAAATTATTACACATTTCAGATAATAAATGTGTTGATGAATTATTACATGTTAATTGTTGATAAACTAAAGTATATAAGAAAATTCATTAATCATTTTCATATACAAAATATTCAAACGTTCAAAAAGTGTCAAAGTCGAAATATGATCGTAGTTAATAGAGGAATCGGAACAAGATTCTTTTTTTTGCTTCGATACTAGAAACAACTAATCTCACGAGAGAAAATTCTCAAGTGATCCATCGCTTTTAATTGCGGACTAGATGCATTATGTAGACTTGAGCTAATAGCTGCCGAGATATTGCATTTTTCAGTACAGTGCCGTGATCTCTTTAAGGAACATAGTTATGATAAAAATATATTTGTCCATTGGGGTTACCGAAACTTCGTCAATAGGATGTTTGCCACTAGCGAGCATCTAGAAGTATATTGACGAAACTCCATTGCACTTTTGCCAATTGGCAAAATTCCAAAGGACGCGTTGACGAAAGTCAGAATTTCTGTACATTGCTCATATACAAACAGAATAGAAGCAATCAGAAAATCTAAAATTTTCACAATAAATTATTCTCATTGAGACCTATCACTATACAAAATTCCAAACTCAGTTTTTCTAATGTTTCTTAGAAAAACTACAGCACTGTGACAATATCTCGGTAACAATAAGCCATCATCAGCTCGAGTCTACATAATGCACACAGTCCCAACTTGAAAGCCATGAATCACTTGACGGGACTTTCCCTCGGTCAGTCACAGGCACGTACCAAACCCCCCCCCCCCTTCTAAGGACTATGGGCCCTCCCTCAGAAAATTTCTGAGTATGTGTCTGGTCAGTCATGTTTCATACAAGGTAAACCTTGAATTCAATTCTAACTGACTTTTAATATCAGTGTCACGGTGTAAGAATGCCCCTTCCAAGAGCCATGACCTATGCATATTAAACGTTAATTTTTATGTTTGATTCTTGTTATTATTTAGAAAATACCTTTTTCAAGTACTTGCATAATTAATTTTGGTAAATCTTCATCATTATCATTAATTTTATCTATTTGTTTAACACGTATTGGTGTTAACATTAATTCATTTAATTGTTGTAAAACAGTTTTTATATCAATTTGTCCATTATCAATATCAATAAGACATTTTTGTAATAATATTTGTCGTTCTTTTAATTTTTTAATATTTAATAATATTTTTGTACATGCACCATCAGTTATTTTTCCTTCTTTTAATTGTTCATAAGTTAAATTCATCATTTGATCATATGTCATTTGTGAAAAGAAAAAAGCATATTTATGTAAACGAAGAGTTTTTAACCATTTTGGTACATCTTAACAAAAAAAAAATTAAATAAAATAAAAAAAGAAAGCTTAAAAAGTATATATATATATATATATATTTACCACGCATGCCACTATTTGGTTGTAGAAATTTATTAGTTATAGAACCCGAATTACTATCAACACCTAAATATGGTGATACAATTTCTGTATTATTTCTTGGATATTTTCTTGTATTTCGATTACAAAATGAATGATATTGACCTAAACGATTATAATTATCTTTTTTATTAATATCTAATTGAAAATTTTCAATTGAATTTTGTTGTTGTTGTTGTTGATAATCTTGTTCTTCTTCATCACTTATTGTTAATGTTGTTTTCATTTGTTGTTGATAATTTGAATTTTGTTGACGATATTCTGAATAATATGAATGAATTGATGGTGCTGGTGCACTTAATACAGCTGATAATGGTATAAGTGATGATGAATTATTTGATATTTTTTGTTCAGTTATTGGTGATGATGCTGATTTAACAACAAATATACGTTCATTTTGATTATCTTGTTCATTATTAATTAATGTTAAATTATCAGAATTTGAACGACCAATAATTGTATGTTGTGAATCTTGTATTGATAAAATATTTTGTACAGAATTATTTATACTTGGTTCAGTTAAATCAAGACCACTATCAGTAGTTATATGACGTGTTAATTGTTGAGATAATGTAGAATTTTGTGAACCTTCAGAAGAAAAATTCATTAATGGTGGAGGTGGTGGTGTTTGTTGATGAAGACGAATTGATGGATAACGTTGTAATGGTTGATGATGTCTTTGTGATGATGGAGATGATGATAATGATTTCTTTTATTGTTTTTTAAAAAGAAAACAGAAAAATCAAGATATAGAAGAATTTTTTTTTTTTTTTTTGTTTTTTAATTTTTTCAAATATTTTTTTTGTTATGTTAATATTAGATAAAAATTTACTAGACATATATTATATTTAAGTGCTTTTTTTATACTCTTTTAACAGTTAATTCTAATGGAAGAAATATTTACATCCGTATTTCTTATTTGAGAAAAAAAAAAAAATAATGATTTTACTATGTCATGACGACATTTACGATTATTTTTCTTCTTATATATATAGAAAGCTTTTTTTTTTTAAATTTTATACCTCATCTTTATTTTCATTATAAATTATTATTGTTGATGAAGTTGTTAAAATATTTAATTGAGGTAAATCAACTAAAAATTTTTGTAAACATGGATTTGTTTGAATAAAAAATTTAATTTGTTGACAAAAATTAATTAATTGTTGTTCTGTATAAGAAAAATTTAATGGATTATTTAATTTTGAATCTAAATAAATTAATACATCATGATATGAATCAAGTAATTTTTCATTTATTGTTATCATTGATACTAATGGTAAATAAAGTTGAAGTGTTGAAATAATTTTATCCAATGGATCTGATAGAAGACAAACAATAATAGCTAAAAAAAAATCAAAAAAAAAAATGTATTGAAAATTATTTTCATTTATTTTTGCTACCTGGTGTATTTGCTTGATGAACTGTATGATGAAACATATCATTATTTTCTTGTTGATTATTTGTTTGTGATAATAATTGTAAAAGATAATAACGATATGATAATTGTAATTTTTTTGTTAATTCAACTGATGCATAAATTTGTTCAAATGGTGACCATTCATCAAATTGTTGTTGAAAATGATTATTTTGTTCATGAAATTTTTCAGATAATGTTAACATAGTTTAAATGATAAACTAGAAGTTTTACTGCTTTTTTTTTTCTCTAGAAATTTCATACACACACAACACACACTCACACACACAACACAATAGATAATGTTATGTTTTAAGCAAAAACATTGCCATCTGAAATATTAGAATACCAAAAAAAAAAGAAAAATGTATATGTAAATTGAGTCATTTTATTATTATATTTGAAGTTTGTTCAACTAGGAAATAATGTTATAATGTTTTAAATGCTCATATGACATGTCACTAACTACCTTACTGTACTAATAGTTGAGACACATTCAGCTTATATACTTTTTTTCTTTTTCTCGCTATTTCTCTTTGAAGATCGACTTTCTTCTTCTTTTTTTTTTTTCTCTTTTTTTTCTCTCTCGTACTCTTATATAATCGGGTAATCAATCCAGGCGCTTCTTCGGTTCACTATATACCGGGAATAGCAAGAAAAAAGCAAAAAAAAAAAGAAGCAGAAAAAACTATATGGAACAAGAATGACTTTATTTTTCTATGGAACCAATGTCATGTCTCGTCTTTTTCTTTCCTCTTCCTTTCCTTTTATTATTATTATTTTTTTTTTCTTCTTCTTTCTTTAGGATAGATTCTTTTTTTGGATGCTCACTATTAGAATGTCGTCTTGTATCCAACGACGATTATACTTACTATTTTTTTTTTAATGTTCTGTTTTTAGAGACATTATTAAAAAGCACACGTTATTTGTTCTCAGTTTATAATTTTTTTTTTTTTTTTTACTATATAAATAGAAAAATTTGAAATCAAATATTCATTTATTAGATTTGAAGAAAAATTAATAATGTTTTGTTATTTTTTGTCCTCGCTCTCTCTCTTGTATTTGTTCTTAATGATATAAAAGTCAGATTTGATTAAAATTTATCTTTTTAATCAATGAAATTTGAAATATATTTATTTTTATTATTCAAAACATCACGTTTTATATTGTGACTTTTAATTTATCACATTTAGTTGAGTTTCTAGCATAGACAAAAAAAAAATAATAAATTGACAGAGCACAAAAACTAGACGATAGACATAAGCTTTAGTTTTTTTTCTTTTTTGTTGATTTATCTCAAACAAATAGCACAAAAAATAAAGAAAATATTAGAAGCACGTAAGAAAAACGACAACAAAAAAATAAAATCATGATATAAACAATAATTACATTTAATAAACTAGCTCGAGGGTTAGTTATTTATATGTCGATATAAAATTAAAAATACCTAAGATCGGGGGAAAAAAAGAAACGTTTCACTTACGATATAAATAATTTCTTTTGTTTTTGTTTTTTTCCCTATTTTGAATAATTTGCCATCTTTTAATCATTGGTACATATTTTAAATATATGAAAATTTGAGTAATTATAAAAATTTTCTTTGTTAGAAAAATAAAAGGTCAAGATAAATTTATTATTTTTTTTATTTCTGTTGTCAAAAATATAAGCTTATACCTTATAAATTAATATACTAGATGTCAGTCAATGTTGGCATTCTATAATATTATCAAAAAAAAAGAAAGGTTTTTTTTTGTTTTTTCAGTTATGATGAGTATAACTCATGCGTATAAAATAATTTTTGGCATAAGAATATTAGAAAATAATTTTCTATAAATGGAATTATTCAAGAGAAAAACAAAAAAAAATGAAATTTATAATATATTATATATACTTACCTATGGTTATTATTGTTATTTCTTTAATATTAGTAAGATGACAAGAATGAATCATTGGAGTGGAAAATCACTTCGACTTTTTTTTTCTTTTTACAATCATGCTTTATCATATTAATAATGGTTAATATAATGATTGTTTTACAGATACGCATCATATTATTCATCATATACTATATTTATCATGCCTAGTAAAATAGGCGTTTCTTTGTCTATTAGAAATCAGGTTTTTTTTGTATTATCATAATATTCTTAAGATAGGACAATAAATATTTCATCTCTATTATCTCATTAGATTTTATGTATTTCTTTTCTTTTATTTTCATATTAACATATCATGTCTTTTTATTAATATTCATTCATGACCGTAGTTAATTTATAATATCTAAGGACAATTTCAAGGAAATTAAAACTTCTTTCATATTAATATAAATATAAAATAAGACTCATTTATCTATTTTATGTTTAACGTGTATTATCAATGTCATGAGAAGAAAAACAAAAAACAATAATATTAGTATCAAACATTAAAAAACAAAAAAACTAATTTCTTTTATTTGATTTATGTTTCTTAAATATATATATATATATTAAAATAAAAGACAAAAGCATCTGACATGCTAGAGTAAAATAATTAAAAACAAAAAAAAAACAAAGAACTTGCTCATGTTCATTATGTATTTATTGAATAATCAGGTATAGTCTGTACATTTTCATCAATAATCATTCCACTTGATGAACTATTATTGGATGTATTTATTTGATTTTGACATTCTTTATCATTAATCACTGTTACTGATTGTGGTCCTGAACACAAAAAAAAAACACAACAACAAATGAAATTTGTCAATCAAAGAAATATGAATTTTTTATATTTATTTTGATACTAACCAAAATAACTGAGTAATATCGGAAGAAAAACTAAACCATGTAATGCACCAATAATAACTAATGAAAAATACATACGAAAATAAAACACCTGGAAAAGTTGTGATTTAGCAAATGCAAGTACTACAACACCACCTATTTTTGTTAATGTTATACCACTAAATACCTATAAATAATATATTATATAGACACACAAAAAAAAACAGATATTAAATTAAAAAAACACATACAGAACTACCCATTTCAGATAATGCTATTCGAGCACGTATTAATTGATTATCACCTGGACTAACAGCAAAATAACGAGCTATATGAGCACAAAATTCAACTGCAATACCAACAGACTAAAATAAAAAAAATTACATAATTGTTTTCTTTCGAAGAGTTTTGTTTTTCTTTTGTTGAGAGAATTAAATCCTACCATAACTATATTTACAACAGATACAGCATTAAGTTCAATATTCCATAAAAACATAACACCAAAAATATCAATTATAATCATAAATACACATAGAAGAATAAGAAATGATGTATGAAAATCAAAACCAAGTAATATAGATGTTACAATAAATACAGCAGTAAATGATAATAATAAATTAACAATAAGATTACGCCATATTGTTAAATATTGATCATAAAATACATAGAAAATACTAGAAAAAGACAAGTAAGAAAAATTCATATAAAAACAAAAATTAATTGAACTTAAACATTATCTATAGAAGATCTATCTTAATGTTTTATCTAGATTTTCTTTTGCGAAAAGGCAATTTAAAACTTCGAGTAAACTCACGTGATATTCCGAGGGCGTCGTCCTTTTAGTTTATACTAATACTAAAAAAATCGTAAAAGTTATGTCTTGCAATCACGTGAAGTTTAAACTAATGTCATCAAAAGATCTTTCATCTTATTCTCCAAATTAGAATTATGTCAATTACGCCTACGACAGTTTCATATCAATCTCGATCTTGAGAACTGTTCCAACAGTTCAAAAAGATGAGATTAAGTTCTGTACCAGAAAACCTATGAACCGATCCCATTTCTGGCAATTCTCTTGAACTCATGCATTTTAACTGTCATACCTCTATTAACCATGTACTCAAACTGTTTCAACCGTGTTTTGTCTCAAAATGAAGAAATATGTATTGAACTAAATGATAAAATATTTTTCCAATCGAAAGAAAATTATAGTAAGATAAATTCAAACATTAAATCATTTTGAGTTGTTTTTTAATTTCTTATTCTCTGTTTGGTTGTTAAAGATTCGAAATCTTCTATATAGTTTATTCATATAGATATTCTCGAATCTAAATTGAAATATCTAATATAAGACTAATCTTTAAATATTGTTAAAATATTTCAACAAAAAAAAAAAAAAAAAATTAAACAAATCAAATTTGACATAATTACCTATATGGAAAAACTGGATAATCTTCAAGTTTATTTGAATCATGATATGGATGACTTTGATTACTAAGAATTGTTTTTGAAATATTTTTTGTTATTTCATTAGCACTTTTCATAGCACCAATAAAATCTTTTGATGTTTTAAGTACAGAATGAAAACCCATAAAATATGAACTTTTAACATAAGTTTTATTAATTAATTCAACACCATCATGATATGCAGCATGACCACCTTTAGGACATTTTTCACCTGGATTATCAATTAAAAAATATTCTATATATTGTTGAAAATCATATTCAGATGGTCGTTGATTTTCAAGAAATTCTATTGGACATGGTAAACATAATGTATTATTTAATGTAGCTGGACAAAATTCATTTGTTTGATTATTTATTCTACAACAAGGTGGATCATTTGTTGATTGTAACCAATCAAAATAATCATCAAGCCATGATGATGGTGGTTGTGCTAAATAATAATGTTGTGGTTGTCGTAATGCTTGTCCTATTTGTCCAAGTAATGATATTGATGAACAACCTGATGTACCACATAATAAATTTTGTTCATCAATTTTTTTATAATCAATTGCATTTTGATTAACAACAAAATAAACAGGTGGACCAACACTTAAATAATTTTCTAAACCACGAAAATAATCTAATACATAAGAATCTTTTGGCATAGATAATTTTTGATCAAGACCAATTGGTATACGATGTATAATTGATAATGATAAACATGTTGCAATAATAAATAATGAAAATAATATTGCACGTATATAAGATATACCTAATACCATAGGTGTCCATATATTCATAAATATTTTTTGTAATATTCCTTTTGATCTATCTTCTATTTGATTATTTGTTAATGTAGATTTTATTGAATAACAACAACATAAATCAGGTCGATTAGATTGTTGTCGTTTAGAATCAAGTGAAAGTATGGATACAAAACAAGTTATTTGAAGTAAAAAATCAATAAATACAGCCATAAATGCATATAAAGAAAAAATTTGTACAGCTGGCATTGGTGTTAATGCACCAAGTGCAAAAGCAATTGATTCACTTGATGCTGTTAATAATATTGATGGACCAATACGACTTATTGTTGTTGCTAAACATGTATCTATTGATGAATATTTTTCATATTTAGTTTTTTCAAAATGTTGTACTATAATAAATATATTATCAACACCAACAGCTAAGACAAGAAATGGTATAACTTCAAATATAATTAATGTACCAGCTATACCACAATAAGAATAAAATCCAATTGAACTCATTACAGATAATAATACAAAAAGTACACCAACAAAACCAACAGAAATTTTTAAATCTATTAAACATGTTCTCCAAGATCGTATATGACCAAGTGTTAATGTTACATAAAGAAACATAATTGTATATGATATTAAAATTGTTAAAATATCTGAACGACTTTGACGATTTAATTCATCTTGAATAGAACGTTCAGCACTATAATAAACAGTAAAATTTGCTGTTTCATTCCAACGACCAGAATTACGTAAAAATGTTTGAGTATCTGTAAAATTTTTCATATAATCAAGAAAAACTTTTTCCCATGCTTCAGCTAAAAAAAATAAATTTATATATATACTATTATAAAATCAAAAAAAAAATAATAAACCTAATTGAATTTTTTCTGGATCATTTGAATTTTCAATAACAATAGTTATAACTAATGCTGTTGCATTTGAATATGTTGCATCTGTATAATTACCTAATATCATAAATGGATTAATTGTACCACCAAAATCAGCAAAACATGATAAACCTAATGGATTATCTTTTGTTGTTGTTGGTGCTTGTGAACATGTCATAAAATGTGTTGAATAATCAAAATAAGTAAAAAAATCATCATTAATATGTTTATTTAAATTATCAATTGAATTTTGATAATATTGTAATATAGAAAAAACTGTACAATTATCATTATCAGGTTCTAATGGTTTTAAACAAATATCTGATAAATAAATTGTTTGATTTTTTTCATATAATTCAGCTTTAAGTGATAATATATCTGTTTGAAGATTAAGTACACGTAATAAAAAATCTAATTTAAATACTGGTCCAAATGTATATTGACTAAAAGGTGCTGGTGGTGATAAATAATAATATGTTACAAATGATTGATCATCAGGTACAATAATTATTTGTGTTGTACGATAAAAAGGTCTAAAATTTAAAAAAAAAAAATTTTCAATCAAAAAAAAAAAACTATCTTACTTAAAATGTTTATCAAAATAATCTTTTTGTTGTCGAGCAATACTTGATTTTGATGACCATAATTGTACAGGATCAGTTGTAACTTGAAATTTAAATAAACCACATGATAGAACAATAATTAAAAGTGTACCAATTGATAAAATAATAAATGGATGTTGAGCACAAAAAAGACCCAAACTTAAATAAAAGAAAAGAATAGATTTAAAATAAATTGAATAATTATTAATTTATATACCGATAAAATATTTTTTCAAGAAATTTTTCTGTACTTTGACGTATACGAATTAAATATCCAGATTGTTTTGATTTTATTGGTTCATTTATTAGTGAAGTTATTTCTTTTATTTTGATTAATAAAAAAAAGAAAATATTTATATAAGAAATTTAATAAGAATATGATATTTAGTTTTGTTTTTTTATTACCTGTTGGTTCTTCAATTATTTGTCGAGATTTTCGAAATTTTGGTATAATAAATAACGATATAATAAATACAGCTAATAATAATATAATAAATATAATAGCGATAAATACCCAACCATCAATATTAAATATTTTAAATTCTTTATCGGGTACATCAGGTGGTAATGGATTACATGATTTTGGACAATCCTAAATTGAAATTTGTGTTTTTTTTTTTGGAAATTTAAAAAAAAAGAAATTTACCAAACAACCACATGCTGTTTTATTTTCATATGTTGATATAATTGGTTCACTACATAAGAATGTTGTTTGATTATAAAAAGTTTCATTTTCACTTGTATCATTTATAAGATTAATATAAATTGGAAATGGTACAGCAGGATTATCAATACCTAAATATTTCATAAATGCTTCTTTTGTACATTGATTATATGGTCGACCACACATTGAATCAAGCGAATGTTGATTACCACCGGGATATAATACATCTCTAAAAAGAAAATAGATTGTCAAAATAAAAAAAATCACGCTATCTTTTAGGATATAATAATCTGCTTACCGACAAGAATCAAGTATACGTTGAGAAAAATCTTCAGCAATATCATAATCAATAGCTTCGACTGTTGTTTGACCAGGATATAATGTACTATTACCCAATGCTCTAATAGTTAAAAAACGACTTTGATCAGAAGAACATGTCATTGCACAAAATAATGAACGAAAATTATAATAACATGATGGACAACGACCTAACATTAATTTTGCCATACCAAATTGATCTGCCATTATACCTATTTGCTGAGCCGAACAACAAGTATATGTATTATTTGGACCTAAAAATAAAATATATACATATATTTTTAATTAAAATAATTTAGAAAAGTTTTCATTTATTAAAAAAACAGTGACTTCATTAAAGTTATTAATTATTTCTTAGATAAATATTTGTCTTAACAAATAATCTTCTTATTATTTATCATTATATTTCAATCTTATAAATCAAACTTACCATTATAGATCATTCCACAAGCTGTTTCTAATGTTTTTAATCCTGATTCATCAGTTAATAATTTTGCAGTACCATTATAAAAACAATTAGTTATTTTATCCTGTGAATTTGGTCCACATGGTCCATACCATATACAATGACCATCCTTTTAATTTACAAAAACAAAAAATAAATTAATAAATAATTTTAACATATTCGAATTCTTACTTCAGCTTTTGTATAATTTAATAAAATATAAACTATAAATATTAAAAATTTAAACATTATTGTATTATTATCTAAAAAATATGTAAGACATAATGTATATTTATTATAAAAAAAATTCAAAGTAATGTTTTTTGTTTTTTTTTCGTTGCTTGTCGAAAATATTACTATCCAATAGAAAAAATCTCACCATATTTGGTTAAACAAGAACGTAAAAAACAAACATTAAAAACTTTATTTTATGCACCTTAGAGGGCTGACTACAAAAGAAGAAATAAAACATGTTCCTCTATCTATCATATGACATAGAGTTATGATATCAAAGACAACAATAAAATTTTTATCATTTGCATGTTATAACATGACAAGCCACTAAAGTGAAATTATCAAATGCGTAGTACGATAAAAACTTACACAATGAAAATTGATATGATATGACTATTTACGTTTCTTAAAATTCTATTATAGATTCTGCGTATTACAAATTTTGATATTAATCATATTATTACGTGATTCATGCCAAGAAAAAGATTGATATTTCACAGAAATAGAACGAACAATCGAGAAATTATTTCTAATGTTACTTGCATAACACTTCAAACACTATTTTGACAGGTTTTTTTTCTATATTCTTTCTTCCTTGAGCAATAATCATTGTTAATATACCTATAATAAATTTTTTTTTGGAAATACATTAAACTTAACTTTGTTAATTACATGAAATAATCAAAAGAAATTAAAAAGAAATTTTACGAATAATTCGAGTGTGCATTTCGTTTATTAATTCTCTTGAAAAGTTTTTTTTTCTAAAAGCTTCATCCACATATACAATAAATGAATCATTATAATAAACGCAAAATTTCAAAAACAAAAACTGATAATTTCATATTACCAATATTGAAAAGTATTATTACATTACTTTTGCTATAGAATAATCAAAAACAAAAAAAAAAGAACGAAAAAGGAAAGATATTGTTTAAGTTTCTTTGTTTTCTGGTTTTTACTACTAATATATATATATATATGAGAATCAAGACTATCTGTCTGCCTGAGCAGTTGAGTCGAATATCAGATAATCATAATAATAATATTGAGAAATTTAGAAATAGACAGACAGTATTGCAAGAAAACAAAAAAAAAAAAACCCCAGGGAAAGGGGGGGGGGGGTGGTGGGGGTATCTTTATGAAAAGTATAATAACAGAAAGATCAACGTTTCTCTTTTTTTGTGATTTTTTTTTTTCCATTACGGAACCAAGCCGTTTCATACAAAAAAGAAGGAAAAAACAAAGAAAAAAAAAAAACAAACAAACACATAACAGAATATATTTTTTATTTTGTCTTAAGACGAAGTCAATGTTGTCCGTTGTTCACCACTAATATATCCATTTTGTGTTATATCAGTTGTTAATCTTGTTGATAATTGTCGTTCATAATGATACATTATTTTTGTTTTATGACTACCACTAATAAAATCAAATGGACTTGTTGTATGATGACTTGTTGAATGACGCCATTGTAAAACATAATTTCCTGGTTGTTGACATATATATGTTTCTTGTACAGAATCACCATCATGATATATAGTTGATTGTGTTAAACGTATAATATCATCTGTTTGTGATTCATTTAATGGTTTATCATAAATTGTTGTTGCATGTAATATTGAAGCATTTTTTTGTATTGATGATAATGGTGAACGTAAATGATCATCATTATCATCATGTTCAATTGTTTTTATTTTTCCAATACGATATATTGTAAATGTACATTCAGATTTTAATATATCAAAATCATACCAAAGTCTATCACCTTTTTGTGATATTGGAATAAGTACCTAAATTTTGTTGTTTTGTTTTTTTTTGGATAGGAAATAATTTTAGTTACTATCGGGGCCAAAATTCAAGATAGTCGGATGTTTTTTGAATTAGGAACAAGATAGAGTCCTGCGATTTTCAGTGTTGGATAGCCAAGACTTAGGAACATATTTTCATAAGCAAAATCTTTTCTGAGAAAAAATCCGAAGGTCGGTTTTTTAGAGAATTTCTGAAAACTCCCATAACAGTCTATTGATTTTTTTACATATTCGGAATCAGCATCGAAAACTGAGTTGATTCATGTATGTTTCGAATCTTTTCACGAACTTTTTTTTTTCGTCGAAAAATTCACTCCTGGTCCCCATGAGGGGTAGGTCAAAAAATGAAGGCAGCCAAAACTCCGTTTTTATTGTTTATTCATTTACCATTTTATGTTCTACTAGCATTTTAGAAGCTCCGAACTCGATTTCCGTTGTTCAAGTGACTTTATTTTTTGATCTCTCCTTCAGGAGGACCAGGGGTGAATTTTTCGGCGAAAGAAAAAGTTCGTGAAAAGATTCAAAACATACATGAATCGACTCAGTTTTCGATGCTAATTCCGAATATGTAAAAAAATCAATATACTCCTATGGCAGTTTTCAGGAATCTAGCGTGGTTTTCCCAAGATCCGCTGAAAAACCGATCTTCGGATTTTTTTTTTCTCAGCAAAGATTTTGCTTATGAAAATCTGCTCCGGGATCTTGGTTATCAAATGCTGAAAACCGCAGGTCTCTATCTTGTTCCTATCAAAAGTTATTCAATACTGCCTTGAATTCTGGCACCGATAGTAAAATAAATGAAAAACAAAAAATTTAACATACTTCATGTGCACCACCTTCTTTTATTGATACAACTGTATAAGCATTATCACCAAATAATGAACTTTCAGCATCAAATTTATCTGGTTCATCTTCATGAATATATAAAGAACGTGGGATTATTCCACCGGATGGTGCTTGAAACTAAATAAAAAATTTTTCAAATAGAAAATTATTAAATAGACTCTTCAATAGAGACGATTTGTAAATCAAATTTAAATTTTCAAAAAAAAAAAAAAATTTGAACTAAACTCATTTTTGTTTTTCATAGGACGATAAAACTCTTGCTTATTATTATCAGTAATATCTAGATAATTTTGTTTAGATTATTGATCATGATTGATTAAGCAAACAATTGAGTTATTTGATTGAAATATCAATAAAAATGATTTTAGAAAATTTGTATAATATTATTATATCTCGACGAAAATATATTCTACAAAACTTGGATACAACTTATTTTATAAAGCATTGTTTGATCTATGTAATTGAAAGAAAATCAAATTTATATATCCTACGTGCTGAAATACGAAAGTTTTAGGCCTATTTTTACTTAATGAAAAAAAAAAACATCTTATTGAATAATTTTTTATAATTATTTTATATATAAATAGTAGAATATAATTCAATAATGCATATAAACGAGCTGACATTCATTAATATATATATATTAAATAATTAAATATAAGTCGTAATGTTCTATTCTGACTTTCAAAAAAAGTACTCGTTTTTTTTTTTTTTAAATAAAAATATTTCTATAACATACAAACATTTGACCACCAAGAAAATCAGGAATGTTTATTTCGTCAATATATTCAACAAGTTCATCAGTTTTAAGTATAGCAAATTTTTCACGTGTTCGTTCTTCAACAAATGTATTTATAATTGTCCATAATACTGGTATAACACGAGGACAACGTGTTAAAAACATTCTGAATTAAACAAAAAGACAATGAATTAATTCTATAGAAAAATATAATATATATTTACCGGCCAAGTGTTTCTGGATAATTAGCTTCAACAGTATCAGTTATTTGTGATATAACTCGAAAAACAGGTCGATAAAGATGTTTAACACTAAAGTTCTCAAAATCCAAAATAACACATACAGAACTAAAAAAAAAGAAATAGAAAACTTAAATATATAATTAAAACTATTCAATAGATTTTTGTTTTTTTACCTTATTGGTTTACCAAAAAGTTTAGTATTTTCTTCACATTTATTTAAACCTTCTTCAACAAGATATAATATCTACAAAAAAAAAAAAAAACAATAATTAAATATTTATTTTGAAATTAAATAAGTTATCATTAATTGTCATACGTGTCTAATCCATACATCTTCACCATGTACTGCTTTCATAATACCACGTACATCAATATCTCCAACACGTAACATATATATAGGTCGTCCATCACGATCATTTCCACCCCAAGCACCAGGAAAAAAACGTTGTATTACTTCTGGAGTTTCATAATCCATAAGTAAACGATCAATACAATTTTTTTTACGCCTACATAAAAAAAAAAAATAATAATAATAGAAAATTTTCAATATGTAAAAAAATATTAATTAGATCATTATTAAATGTTTATTTCTTTTGATGAAAAACAAATGGTTAAATGTCATTAGGATAATATGAAATATCCAGCTGGAATATTCTTTTTTTTTCTGCGAACAAAATTGTTTATATTTTTTATTCTTAAAATAGAAGATAATTCTTTACAAATCATTTCTCGCCATTAACGAGCTAAGAGCAAAAGAAAGTTATTTAGTACGAGTAATTTATTATTAGAAATCTAGAGTATGTGTAGCATGATCTATCGATCACTCAACGCATGAATTCATTTATATGCCTTGAGAGAATATATTGAGATTAGCATGCTAGATATAACAATGAACAATTCTCATAGAATTGCCATTAAAATTTATTATGATAAAATAGCAATAACATGCCAAATTTGACGAGGTAAGATTCTTAAGTTAGCAAGGTCTGTAGTTTTATATAAAACATGCGACATTTCTAGAAATTACTAGGTCATGTTGTTCTTTCATCGTATTAATCAGTTCTCAATCCTACAAGGCAGACATCTAATATTTCTAGGAAGAAAAAAAAACATTCTTCGAACATAAGCTATACACTAATGAATTCTATGGTAAGAAATAATATCGAATTCTTGACATAGATAATTTTGTCAAGTACATACTAAATTATATTTTGTACTCATATTTGAAACTTGAATCTCTGATCTTTATGGATTAAATAAATAACATCAAAATAATGTAATAAAATCCCAAAAAAAAACAACGAACATCATCAAACATTAAAACTAATACCTTGCAGCTCTTTATTCTTTTCTGTTTATTTATATAACTACATATGATACGGCTTAATATCTTTTTTTTTGTTTTCAACAAGAATTAATTTTCATATAGATTCTCTACCTGGATAGATATGTTATTCTCTATAGTATATGTTAATTTTTTTAATAGCATCCATTTGACAACTATTTGTTTGTCATCCTTTTATGATAATCTTCTCGAGTAAACATCTATTCATCAACGAAAATAACAAACTTACCATGTTAATGAATGACAAACATTTTCTTTAGCTTTTTCAATATCAAATCTTCGAGCACGAAGAAATCGAAGTAAATGAGAATCATTTGGTAACTAAATAAGACCAAAAAAACAAATGATTATTTTTTTTTTTCGTACTTCATACTTTTCCTTTATGTGTTTCTGCAATCCATTTTCGAAGTTGTACAAGACAACTTTCTTCAAATGGATCTAATTGTCCAACATAACGACGTATATATTCATCATCAATATTACCTACAGCTAAACAACAAAAATAAAAAAACAAAAAAACATAAAAACATTACGTTGTTTATCTTGTAAATTTTCATCTATTTGAAATGTTTCAAGTTCATCTGATAATGCTGAAAAATGTGCTGCTGTTGTTGTTGTTAATGCTGTTGCTTTAGGTGGTGATGCTGAAGTAAATATATTTGATGCATCTTGTGATGATAATCGTCGACGTGCTGCTAATAATGATGGATCATCATTAATAGAAGATATTGTTGTTAATTCTTGATTTTGATTTATTATTATTGATGATAATGATGATGATGATTCTGTCCAAATAGGAATATTTGTTATACCTTGATTAATTAATTCATTAACATAATATTCAATAATTTCTTTTCCTTTAGCTAAATTTGCTGAATATTGTTTCATAGCTAATTTTTCAACACTTGCTTCAAAACCAAAAAATGATTTTATTTCTAAATATGCACTTTGTTCAAAACATGTCCATAAAACATTTTCTGGATGAACCTAAATTTTTTGTTTTTTTTGTAATAAATGAGATTAAAAAAAAAAACAAATATTAAACATACATAATAATGACAAAATTCTTTAATTATTAAACGTGCTGAAAAACTTTCATTACATGCATCAATACGTAATGTACGTTGTCGACGATCGAGATGATTTTTTTGTAAAAATATAACATAATCAACATTGACAATCTAGGATAATTTAACAAAAAAAATATTTATTACATTTAAATCGTAATTTTTTTTTTCCTACGTAAATAATCTTCTTTATTTATTTTTTATTATTATTACGCATCTAATCTTTTCTTATTTATCAAAATTAATAGTCATTTTTTTTTTAAAGATTTAAAAGCTTCTTTTTTTTTGTATGTGCCTGATAAGAAATTATTTGAAATTTATATCCTGTAATTTTTTTTTCTATGGGTAATTGTAACAATTATTTATTCGTCTTTTTTTCTTTTCTAATATTGAATATTTTTACCTATAAAAAGAATTTTTTTTTTGTTTGTTATTTTTATCTCATCTAATGCCTAGATATATATACATAAGTATTAATTATGTAACATTTTATTCCTTTGAGGTTGAAAAAAAAATATTATTTACTATTGAATATGAAAGCAGTAGTTTTTTTTTTGTTTTGCATATGCCAGACACGTCTCAAAACTATTGACTAATTAATTCATGATCATACTAATATTTCTACTAGTCAAGTTCTTTTTTTTCGGAAATATATTAAATAGACACAAAAAAAATTCTCTTTTTTTTTCTTCAATCTAAAGCAAAATCAAATACGAGATTTATTATTTACCTTTTTAAGTAAATAAGGTGCATCAACATTTAATCGACAACGTCGTTCAATTATATCTACAGCTCCATCTTCACTATGAAATTCTGATGTTATATCAGAACCAAGAAAAACAGGTATCATTGGACATGTTGGAAAACGTTTTTCATATGCAGCCATAACAAGTTCAAATGGATACCGATAAACACGTACTGGTGATTGATATTTTTGTACCATTATTAGTATTTGTTTGTTTGTTTGTTTTTTTTTTATGTTGTAATTTTATATCGTAGATACAAGATGAAGATGAAGAAGAGACGAATATATGTAGTTATAACATAATGGAAAAAAAAGACGAAGAGAAAAAAAAAAAAAAAAAGAAGAATAAGAAAAAAGAAATCTGAAAAGAGAAAAGTTTTCTTAATGTATGTTATTAATAATAATAAAAAAAAAAAAAAAAACGGCATCACGTCATTCTCACGAGAAATATCTGTGATCCTAATGATTAGAAAGAAGAAGAAGTATAAAAAACAAAAAAAAGAAATCATGTGAATATTAAAAATGTTCGGGAATAAAAAATTCAAGTAACCATCTGTCATATGACAGAATTATGATTGTAAATGCTCAACACAACAACAAAATATATATATTTAGAATATTAGACTAGAACGCTTATATATATATTTACATGTATTTTTTTTTCTTTTCTATCTCGTTTTTTTCCGTACGCCTTGTTGTTTTTTTCTCTTCTCTTCTCATTCTTCGTCTTTTTTGTACTGCTTTATATTGTGCATGACGTTACCTCAATCTACAAACAGCATCTTTAAACTCGATGATTGCTAGAATTAATGGTTTAGCTCGTTTGTTTTTGCAAAAAAAAAAATCCTTGTATGCTTTTCTATTATGTTCTATATGTATGATATTAATAATGATCTAGTATAAGCGAAAAAGAGGATGGTGGATGAAGAGAGAATGAAAGACCAATTTCCTTTTCCTTCCTTTTCACTTCAGTAACAGAGCGACGACTGACGCAAAGCACACACAAACACAAATACACACACAACGATGGATGTATGCTTTTTGCTTGTCGCCAACACTCAATCGAGTAAAAAAAAAAAAAAAAGGCAATAACAGTAGAAACTATTAAATGGTAGCGCAAAGAATATTATTAAATATATGCGTACCAGTGTATGGTAAGAAAAAAAAAGTCGAGTCTATGCCAATAAACGAAAAAAAAAAACGAGTCCATTGAATCTGATGATAGACACAGGTGACAAAAAAAGGATAATAGCCATTCGTATTATACTATTCGTTTTCTTGATTATTACTAAAAGACTTCAGAAGAAAAAAAAAAGAAAAAGTGGTGGATTAACTCAAGAGTCTTCATTCCTTTTTTTTTTTTGTTCTGAGTGATTTATTACAAAAACATGTTTTTAATTGGAAGGGGGAGGGCCTTTTTTCAAATGATTTCAAGAAAATAAAAAAAAACGTTGAATATATCTTCTTAAAAACGAAAGACAAATTATTATTCTTTTTTTTTTTCTTTTTCTCTTGTTCAAATAAAATAACAATCAATTAATGAAACTTAGTTTGCTTTTTTTTTTCTTTTTCCTTGTTTCTTATAAAAAAAAGAAAAACGATCTAACAGGCAAGGGAGGGTATATAAAAGAAGCCAAAAAAAAAAAAAAAACAACAATAGAAACGAAGATTTTTTTATCAATAGTCAGAAGAAAAAAATATAGTTACACATTGATTAACAATTCAATGGAAAAAAAACAAAAACAAATATGACGAGTAACACATTATAAAACAAACGATAAACTGTTCAACTTATATATTTCGATTTCTTTTATAAAACAAAGAGAATTAAAGCACAAAAAAAAAAAAACATTTTAAACAGACTCATACAATGAGATTTTTCTTTTTTTTTCTATGTGCATTGCTATTATAAATAAATAAAAAAACTAATATTAACAACGAGTTTGACATATATCAAGTTCATCATTAATATTTGTTTCATTTGTACCTGATTCAGAATCTGTACTATCCCAATCTGATAAACAATTTGGATATAATGCAAATGCACGTCGATTATTTGTTGATGATGATGATGAACGACTATGATGACGATTTTTATTATTATTATTATAATTTGAATCAAGATTAGTTTTATTTAATTTATCATTTGTTTCATTATATTGTTTTAATTGATTTTTATCAATTATAAATGTTGAATCATTATTTGTTTCAATTAATTTTAAATTAATAGACGGTTGTTTTTCTAATATTTGATCCGATTGAATTGTTAGTGAAGGTAATGATGATGTTGTTGGAATATAATCAAATAAAACAGATACCTAAAAAAAAAAAAAAATGTTATTTTGTCCTTTCTTATCATAATGGACTTTTAGTTTTTTGTTATGTTCCTCTAGAGGACAAAATATTTTGTAATATACGAAATGTTAATATCTTGATGTTTCTATTGAAAATATTTTATCATATAATATGAAACAAAAGCTTTTTTTTAATAATCAATGAATAGATATTAGAATATCTAGGTCATTTATTTTTATCAATTATTACAATGAATAGTGGCATAAAAGCAAAACTTTCTCTTAAATTATTAAAAGACTGAAAATTTGATTATAGTAAACAAGATTATATTTCATAAGAACACAAGAAAAACAAAATAGGTTGCATTACTCTAGATCTATTAAAATATTAGATAGAATTAAAAAGTTCTTATTTATAATTGAATAATTTAATTATATTTTCGATAAAAGCTTTTTTCTTATAAAATTATTCTAAATATATAAATTAATAAAAAAAAAAAAATAATAATAATTTAACTTACTGTAAATGATGATGGTGCTAAACGATGAAATTTATCTTTATGTAAACCATCAATATCAGTTTTAGTCATTGTATATAAATGTTTATGTCCACATTCCGGTATTAAACATGAACTAAGTGTACCTAATTTACTTTCTGATTGTTTTTCACTAACATTACTTAATATTGTTTGCATTTTTGGTTCAACAAGAAAAAATGTATTAAACCAAAAATGACATAATTTTTCCTACAAAACAAAAAAAAAAAGATATTAAATTTTTATTTAATAGAAAAAATTTTATTACTGGTTTTCCTCGTTTTGTTTTTGTTACAAATATTTCAATTAAAACATCTTCTTCTAATGGTATACGACATTGTTGATTTGATGGTGGAATAAAATGTTTATGTGATGCATGTAATACTGAATAATTTGGTGGTAAATCTCGTCGTATTGTTGAATCACGTTCAAGTGGAATTTCAAATGATTGATATTGTATACGATGATCAGCTGATTTAACTGTATAAGAAAGACCTAAATATACAAAAACAAAAGGGGGGGGAACATTAATATTTAGTTTTTAATCTGTAAAAAAAAACAAACAAACTTGAATGAAGAACTTGATTTTGTTCATATGTTATTAATAAACCGGTGAAAAGTATTTGTTTAGGTATGTACATTACTCGACTATTTAATAAATGACCAAAATATTCTACATAACGACGTTGACTAGGTATAGTAACGCCCTTAAATAAATAATTTTTTTTTTATAATTATTAATAAATATATAAGAATATTAATTACTTTTTCATTCGACGTTCGTTGTTGAGCATAAAATTTTAATGTATCTATTGGATCATTATGTTCTTGTCGATAATAATACAATAGTAAACAACAAGACATTACACCTGTACGACCCTAAAACAAAAAAAAAAAACTTCTATGATATTTAATATCAATAGATAAAATTGAACTTTTTTAAAAATGAAGACAAAATTTTTTTTTTACTTAATTTTGTTCAAGGTATATCGAAAAAAAAAACACAAATCTACATTTGAATTTTACTCATCATTCATAATATAAACTTCAAAACTATATAACCAATATCTTTTATCTTTATACAAAAATTCTCAATAGAAACGTTTTTTTAATCTAAATTGATCTTCATAATAAAAATAATTATCTTATTTTATATAATACTAATTTTTAATATAGGAAAAAAAATAAAGAAAGACAAACATTTTAGATTAATTGAAAAATCTATATATTTTTAACAAAAATAATTTACTTTTCCTGCTTTACAATGTATAACAAGTGTTCTATCAGCCATTTCTTTTAATTGTTTTTCAGCATGTTGACAAAAAGCTAATATCATTTTAATTGTTGGTGGATTATGATCTTCAAAACTAAACTCTGAACACACATTATTATTAAATCGTGAATAATCATATTGTCTTTCACTTTCCACACATCTAAAAAAAAAATAAACTTTATAATAAATACAAAATTTTCTTATTTAACTTACAAATTATATATATAAAATTTATCTCCATGTTTTGATGATAAAAATCTTTTGAAAAAGAACAAAAAAACTAATTTTCCAAAACAAAACAAAAAAAAATGTTTCTTACCGACTAACATCACCAATATTATTTCTATAGACACCTTCATAACTATCAGCTGGATAACCCATTGCAATAACATTCGGACGAATATCTAAATACAAAAAAAATTGCTTTTTTTTTTTTAAAATACATATTTTGTTTTTTTATACGTACAAGTTAAATCAAGATCAAAACCATCCTGTTGATAACGTCGTTTTTTTTTACTCACAATTTGACGCATTCGATTCATTGGATTAGTTATCATATAAATACAAAAAAAAAAAACAAAAGGTCATTATGACATATATTATATTTTATTAATTATTATTCTTCAAAAAGAAAATAATAAACTAAAGATTTTATACAATAGATGATAGAAGGTTTTATTTTTTGCTTTAAGTCACTTCGTACGATAATTTCCTTTTATAATATTAAGTAGAAATAAAAATAAAACGAAGTAAGAGAAATTTTTTTTTGTTATTCGTTTTCAGTGTCACGATGTTCTCTGCTTCTTTTTTTTTTTTTGTTCCTAAGTGATATTTGTCAAAGAAAAAAAAAAAAACATAGATGAAAAGAACAAAACGAAAAATAGATAAAAGATGATCTATAGTTTAATAATAAAATAATTGTTTTGTTTCTATTTTTATTTTTATTGATTTTATCGAGAAGAAATTATTAAGAGAGGAAATAAATATTCGAGAAAATAACAATACAATAGACAAGCATTTATCAAATCAAATGATTCATTGTTAACGATATGAACGACCTCTTTTTATTTTTATCATTGGAGATATATTTTATCAATAGGAATACTCAAACACACCTGACAAATAATAAGTGGATGTTTTCTTTGCCCATTACAGTCAGATAAATAATTTTATTTTTTTTAAAAAAAAAATGGTCATAGTTAATGAACTAATTCAATTAATTATTCGTACAACGAATAATAAATATGCTGATTTTTCAATTGAAATTTCAGCATCATTAACTGTTTATGATCTGAAACAAAAAATAACATTAAATCATCCAAATAAACCAGTAAGAATAATAATTTTATCTTTATATTTTAATTTTCAATTTATTTTATTTTATTTTTTTGATAGAATCCTCAAAATCAACATTTGATTTACTTGGGAAAATTACTTATTGATAAAAATATACTTAATGAAATATTTAATAAAGTAAAATAATCATTATATATATTAGTTAAAGTTATATTTCTCTTTTAATCATCGTATAAATTATTTTGTTTTGTAGAAACTATAAAAGAAAAATGATAAAATTAAAAGTCTCAACAGTTTATTGAAATCATCACAATTTCATTAAAACATTCGCATGAGAAAAAACTGTATAATTTGATTAAATCGTACTAGCTATTCAATTTTTCAAAAATAATATTCAAGGTCTGATATGCGAAGATATCTGAGGGGTAGTCATGTACATAGTATGAATCATTAACCTGAAAATTTTAGCACTCATGCGAAACACATTTTCGATTAGTCGTAAAAATTACCATGTATCACTCTTACAAGGTTACAGATATCATTTTCATGTGACTCATGAAAGACTATGAGTAGTTTGTTAACTCAAGGTTAATCAGCTTAAAACAGGAAGATATTGGAATGATCAAGTTCTTAGAAATATACAATGAAGTGTACATGTTGTTCATATATGATTTTATTTAGTTTGTATATCTACTTCGTTAAGTTATTATTCACCTTTCTAATTAATTTTTATTATTATATAACATAAATCATTATGGATTTACTTATTAATCCACGATTTATATTTATTTTGTCATAATATGACAAGACTTGACATATCCTTGTCAACTTGTTCATCAGATTATTTGTTTTTCTGTTCGATTATATTTGACAGTAGGGAGCCTATGGATTTACATCTTTGTGAACCTGAACCAAATAAAAAAAATCTGCGTACCCAAACATGATTTTTTTTTCAATCACAACTCTCAAGAAAATAAAAACTCAACATACAGTTTACTTTTTTTGTTATTCACTTACCCATTACTTGATACTTAATAAAAAAAAATTTTTTCTTTCTTAATTGAAAAAATTGTTTAACTGCATGAAATAGTTTTCGTTGTATTTATGTAAACAAAAATATATATTCTATGCAGTCAATATAAAAAGTTGCGAGTGTACATTTTTGGTGAACTCGAGTCTGGAAGAAACAACATACATTTAAAACTTTTAACTCAAAGATTTCATAGGGACCTCAAAATTGAAATTTCTTTCTTTTTTTTTCCATTCGACAGTTAGATATTCTAATAAATCGATAATATTATTATTATCATCATATTAATGTAATTCATACCTGATCATGAACAAATTAGATCTATTTGAACGTGTTTGATTGATTTTTTTCTAAGCTATCTTAGAAAAATAGTCATTTATTTTTGTTTGTTTCATATATATTATAATCCAATGACGATGTAGATAATTTATGGCTTTCATTTTTTTTGACCAGTTCGTAATGATTTTACTCGATGATTTCTTTCTTATTTTAATATTATCATAAAAAAAAAATATTTCTCGCATTTTTTTTTTCTTCTCTAGTCAAATTGAAAGAACCAAAAAAAAAAAAAAAGGAAATTATTCTTTCAAACTTATAACCAAGAAAAATACATTATATATATATTTTTTTCATATGGTTTCATACTGTTAATGATAAAGAAGAAATAGAATATTTTAATATTTCTATTGTTTTTTTTTTTTAGTCAGAATATGAATCAAAATCTATGATTCATCTTGTACTATATTCTGATCAAAATGAAATCGTAAGATAATTTTGTTTTTTTGTTAATAAACATATTTTTTTTTTTTTTTTATTTTAATTTTTGTTCAATTCAAAACAGTCAACCATCGAAGAAACATCAAATATATCTTTACATTCATTTGCCTATGATCAATATATAAATGAATTAAATAAATATCAACAACAACTTCAACAGTAAATTAAATTTGGTTTTTTTTTTTCGATTAAAAAAATTATTTCTTCTATTAGATTTATAATGAATCTTAATCAAATTTCATCAATAACACAAACTTATTTACACTATAATTATACATCTTCTCAAATATAGTAAGAATAACAAAAAATAAACAACAAATATATTATTTTTTGATTTAGTCAAAATTATCTAGTTCATCAAAGATCTATAACACAAATTAATTCTACACCATATATAACTAATCAATCAATAACTGTTTCATCACCATCAACTGTAAATTCTAATGAATTTCGTCAAGAAAATAATCAATTAAGAATATTACTTATTGTCATTGAACTTATTCTATTTTGTTTAATTTTTTATATACATTCATCATTAAATTTTTTTCTTTTTCTATTTATTATTTTTATATTATTATATTTGTAAGTTTAATAAACAAAAAAAATTAATATTATATTATTCTTATATTTAATTAGATATTATAGTGATTATTTATCTATTCAACAACGACAACAAATACAACCTATTAATGAACAAATAAATATCGAACAAATACAAAATTCTAATCATCAACAACAAGTATGTTTATAAATTAAAATAATAAATATATATTATTCTCATATTTCTAAAATAGAATTTTACTTACTATCTTTTACCCATAACATCCGGATTCTATTGAAAATGAAGATATAGACAAAATGAAAGTATTTTCTTGACTAAGGTCGGAATTAGATTGATTTTTGTCCCAATAGGGTCGTACTCGGTTATCTTTTTTCTTTTGACTGGAAGCAATACCAGATTGTTCTTTTTTTGACTGATATCAAGGTCATACTGTTTGTTTTTTTTTGACCTGGAACGAGATCTAATTGTATTTTTTTTTTTTATTATATCTGTTTAGTTTCGTCAAACTGAACCTGTTGTTGAAAATCAAATTACAACAAGACGTCTATGGTTAACAGCTATATTAACATTTTTCTCATCATTAATACCAGAAAGAACACAACGCATTTAATTTAAATAAAAATAAAAAGAATTTAATTGTGTATATTTAGTTTTTTTTTTCATTCTTCTAGATGAATATATAATTCTTATTAAAAAAAAAAAAAAAAATTTTTTTTGATGGTTTTGTTCTTTGATCTATGTCGATACGTATTAAAAATAAATATCATTATTGTTCATTATTAATAATGTTTTCAAGATGTATGTCATCAATTTATAGATCATTAAATCAAAGTTTTTTAAGAAAAAAATATTCATTATTAACAAATTCAGTATTAATTAATAATAATAAATTAATTTTATTTAAAATTATTCATGAAATATTATTAACATTTGGTTTATCATTATTTTTACTTTATCTTTTTTATCAATTATTTGGAAATTTTATATTAATTATATTTATTCTATGTGGAATATTTTGTAAGTATATTTTTCGATTTTTTTTCATATATAAAAAAAAAAGATTAAAGTAGATTCGTATGATATGGATGTGTTTTGTAAATTTTCTTTCTTTTTTTTTTCTTTTCTAAATTTCATGCAGTCGGTAAACTGTTTTTTTATCGATGCTCAATAATAAATAAGTATGTAATATAATTTTTTTTTTATACATAATTATTCTTTATGCTTGACAAAAAAAAAATATTAAATAAAATCGAATTGATTAAATTTATTTTATTTTACATTTAGTTTCACTTTATGGTTTACAAGATGCATTACTTTATCAACCAAATGAACCAGATACAGCACGAACAATTGTTTTAACACCAGAAATATATCAATTACCATATGAAATAATAATAATTGAAACATCGGATAATGAAAAATTACATGGATATTTAATAAAACAAAATAATCATTCAGATCAATGTGAAACATTAATTTTTTTTCATGGAAATGCAGGAAATATTGGACATCGGTATGAAATGAATTGAAGATTTTTAAAGTCAAATTTATATAGGAAATTATTTAGGATATTGAAAACCATTTCAGATTGATTTAATTAATAGTTAAAAATGTTGACCTTTATTATAAATTCTGCAGTTTGATATCTATAATTTTTGATTTCAAAAGTCAAGATAAACAATCATACACAAAAATATAATCTGAAATGATAACAAAAAAAAAATAGTTCGTTTCCGTTATAATAGCGATGTGTTAAGGAACAGTCTCTTGAAAATAAAATTACATTAGAAATTTTTTGTAGCATACTCTAAAAAAATTCTTTAAGTGTCTCTATACGAAAACAAAAGTATTCTCAACCTTAATTGACACAGTATACCTTTGTATGAAAGTCACACATGATGAAGAGATCTTTCTAAAAATAGACGCGTATTCAATAAAGTCCTATTGTATTTTAATTAAAAGATCTCTTAACCTTTCCACATTTGTTTCTAAGAATTCAAAAATGTTTTTATCAAAAAATAACGCATTCATTATTGAAGAAAACATACCTAAGGCATGTCAAGATTTGTTCTATGAAGTATTTCTTCCGTCTAAGAATTTATTTCTTTACGTAAAAAAGTCTTTTTATGCAATAATAAAATTACAACGGCGATCAATGCCCTCTCTCTAGTTTCTCCGAGATTTTATGCTTGATCAAGCTGAAAACTTATTTTTGACATACATTAAACATTCTTTGAAGTGGATATCTTTTTGTTATTTGAATCGAAAAAACCGTATCCTAAAAAAAAAATCTTTTCTTTTTGGGAAAAAGTACCAAAAATCAACAGAACAATATTTTTTAAAACCAAGAAAAAAAGCGTATAATATGTGTGAGAACAATTTTAACTTGTTCGGATGTGCTAGATTGCATAAGCCAAGGCACTTCTACACTTTTTTTTTCATGAAAAAGTTGGTTTGAGAAAAATGCAAAACAATGTACAGTTTTTGCTCACGAGGAAAGGTCTTCAACTAATTTACATCGTTTTTCATAATATTTTGTTCATATATTGGGGTTATTATGTTAAGAAAAATCCTAAGAGAGTTTGGGCTGACGGTGCTTCCTTTGAAGGTTATGACCATTTTACTGATTTTTCGACATATAGCAAGATATTTACAAAAAAAATCGAATCATAAAATTTTACTCATATGTAGGACTCATGGCCCTTAGTATATACTAAAAGTTTCAGCGAAAACGAATGTTCCATTCCGGAGATAATGAATATCCAAAACAAGTCGATTTTTCTGTGATCTCTGTGAATGCGGATATTTATAACAAATTCATTATCTCGAGAATCAAACATTCGTTTTCACTGAAACTTTTAGCGTATACTAAGGACCATAAGTCCTACATATAGGCAAAATATCATGATTCGATTTTTTTGTAAATATCTTGCTATGGGTTTAGGACAGTTGCTCGACGGACAGATGCGCGCGGACAGTTGCTCGCCGAACAGTTGCTCGATAGGACACTTGCTCGATCGCTTTTATATAAGTATGATGATTGAATACGACTAAACATTACAGAGATAATGACCGTCAGTGTGCTCTACATATAGACTAATCAGTTCAGTCAATTTTGTCTTGAATTATTATACTGAAAATTAAGCGATCATGTCATTCGCGAGCAAGTGTCCTATCGAGAAACTGTCCTAGCGAGCAACCGTCCGTCGAGCAACTCTCCGCGCGCAACTGTCCGTCGAGCAACTGTCCGGATCCCCTTGCTATATGTCGAAAAATCAGTAAAATGGTCATAACCTTCGCAGGCAGCACCATCAGCCCAAACCCTCTTAAGATTTTTCTTAGAATAATGACCCCAATAGATGGATAAAATATTATTGAAACCGGCTTAAATTAGTTGGGAACCTTCTCTCGTCAGTTGACTTTTTTGATGTTTAAAGACAATTTTTTAATTCTAAAACATCCTTACTAGATAGATACAACTGCAGACTGTACCGTACTCTTAAATTAATTAGACGAATATTCAATCAAATGATGACCTAAACTAATTAGTATATATAAATATTCACTTGAGATTATTCTTAAATTTTTGTTTTTTTTTTACAAAAGACAATAGTCTCAATATCATTTAATTTTTCTTTTTTAATTAGTTTACAAAATGCTCATTTACTTTATCAAGCATGTAATATTAACATTCTTCTATTTGATTATCGTGGTTATGGAAAATCAACTGGTCGACCATCTGAATCAGGTCTTTATATAGATGCACAAGCTGTTTATGATTATGTTCGTAAACGTACTGATCTTAATCAAGAAAAAATTTTTTTTTTCGGTCGTTCACTTGGTGGTGCTGTTGCATTACATCTTGGTACAAAAAAAAAATTAAATATCTAAAATTCTTATTTATATATTTTTTTTTTAATATAGCTTCACATCTTGCTGAAACAAATACAACATTACCATTATATTGTATTATTCTTGAAAATACTTTTACATCAATACCTGATATGGCTAAAAAATTATTTCAATTTTTTTTATTAGATTATATACCAACATGGTGCTATAAAAATGTGGTATGATTTAAAATAGAAAAAAAATTATTTTTATTCATTTCTACTGTTTTTTTTTTAAATATAGTTTGCATCAATTAAAAAAATTCGTCATATAAAAGTACCTATACTCTTTCTATCCGGTGCACAAGATGAATTAGTTCCATCACAAATGATGCAAAAATTACATGAGGTTTGTTTTAATAATATAATAAATTAAATTGAAAAATAGTATCGAAAACTATAAAATCTTCGGACAAATGTATGAATGATAAATTTTTATAATAAGTAAATTCAATTATATAATCTACAATAATAAATTGATGTGTTTGGTAAGCGTAATATATTGATCGTATACTCGATTTCCAGATTAGTACAATACGATAAAAATATATTTATTAATCATCGTCTACCAAACATTAATTTACTATTATTTACGAGCGTAAATTATATAAAAATTTATATAAGATTAATATTTAATTTTTTATTATAACACTAACCGTTTACTTATTTATCCGAAAAGAAAATTCTAATTAATAAAATTTATTTTAAGGAAAGTACAAGTTTGAAAAAACAATTTATCATATTTTCTGATGGTCAACATAATACAACATGGCTTTCACATAATTATTCAGATCAGATATATAGATTTCTTCATGAAGTAAATTAATTTCATTTGTTTTATTTATTATATATATATATATTTATTTTAGTGTTCGACATCATTCGAAACAACATCGAGTGTTAATTAAAAAATAATAGGACATATATATATATAGATATTCATTTTTTTTTTGTTTAAAAAAAAAATAATATTTAATATTGTTTGAATATTTCTTATCTGTGTGTTTCAAATTTCTTGTTTTTTTTTTTCATTTTATTATATTTGGAACCAAAAAAAAAAGAGAAATAAACATGATACTGACATTGTTATTCTTAGGATTGGAAATAAAAGAAATTTTTTTTGTTTTTCTATATATATGATTCTTATCAAATAAGTAGTAATCATTTGTATTAGATGAATGACAGATACGTAAACTTTGTGTAATTAGCTGTCGGATTTATTTGAATATCAATTTATCAGTATATATAGAATGTATCAATGTTTTTCTTAATTAAAATGACAGTTATTATTGAATATAGACATGTTTATTATCATTGATATATATATAAAATAGGTGAATTAGAAATTACGATTGATAAATGTAAAATAAATAGAAGTTGTTTTATAAATTCAGTTTTTTTTTTGAGACGCAAAGAAAAAAGAAAACATGTCAATCTATCTAATTTCCTATTTTTAATTTACTGCATGTTATTATAGCATGATAAAATAGATTAATATATGAAATGTCTATGCATATTTTATATTATCTTCTATTTCTGTCTTTAGAATATTCAATGTATTATAAATAGTTGAATATAAAAATAATGATTCATATTTCAATCGAATGTTTTTTTTTGTTTTGCGTAAATTTAATGTTGTTGAATTAAGGTTTCTCTATGTTAATAATTGACATAGATGTACATGTATAAATATACAAGATGATATCAAAAATAGATTTATCTAACTAGAATAACAGAGTATATTCTTTCTCTTTTTTTTTTCTTTTTCTTACACAATCTCTGAAATGATAGCTAATAAATTATTATTATTATTTTTGTTTTGTATGTATATTAACCAATATCTCTGATAATTCTATATATTTAGAAGTGTTTATTTAATCAGTCAACTAGAACAATCAATTATATGTAAGATCAAAAAGAAAAACGAAGTAGACAATATCAGTGATATGAAAATATATGACAATATTCTTGTCATTTGTGTTGACATCAAATGATAGTTCTTTCTTCTCAGAGACAATTATTCTTGTTTAAGTCATGTATTTTCTATTAATTATTCAAAATTTATCATAATGAACGATATAATTATTAGATTTTTTTTCTATTTTTTTCTTTTCCTATTCCATTGTAATAAAATTTATTCATCATCTTCTATAATTTATTATCCATCATATAAACTTATTTTTAATCATTTATTATATAATTCAACATTACCGCAAGATACAAAATTAAAATGTAAACAAACTCAAACACAAGCAAATTTTTCTCATATAAATTTATCTGATAAAAATTTATTAAAATTAGCATCATATAATAAAACAAATTTAGGACCATATCTTATAGTATCAACTGGTATATATCAAGGTAAACGAATTAAATATAATGATCGTTATATTGATCAATTTCTTGGTATTTATTATGGTGAATTACCTAAATCATTAAAAAAACCAATTAAAAAATATTTTGATTATTCATTAAAAAATGCAACAGAATTTAGTCCATCTTGTATGCAATCATTATCAATGACAAAAAATCTTTCATATGGTTCATTTGTTATGCAACATGATTTTAATAATAATTGTCTTTCATTAAATATATATCGAGCTGATTTACGTTATGGAGAAAAACGTAAAGCTATTATGGTATTTTCTCATGGAGGATCAAATCAATTAGGTAAAAAAATAAAACAGACTGATAAATTGTTGTTTTTATAAATAACATTTACAAAAAAAAAATTTGTTTTTGTGTGTGTGTTAGGTAGTGGATCATTATTTGATGGAAGTATATTAGCTAGTGAAGGTGATATTATTGTTATAACAATGAATTTTCGTCTTAATTTTCATGGATTTTTATCAAGTGGAGATGATCAAATAAAAGGTATTTGTCTTCTTTTTTATAAATATAAAAGATACGAAAAAGTTTTTATTTCAATGTGTCGTATTATTTTAAAGATTATGTAGAGTATACTGTTTACGCGGGCAAACCTTACTCAATATAAAAGTGGTAATGCTTAGAGTAGACACTTGGGGCTAGATCCTAATAGAGCCCGATTTTTGAATTTCTCCTTCGTTTAAATAAAAAACATAGATCTTTGATTTTAATTAGCGATTTTTTGGCTACGAATTTGAGAAAAGTTTTTTTTAAAAAAGCAAAAAGAGGGAAATTAAAAAAATTGGGCTCTATTAGGATCTAGCCGTAAGTGTACTGTACAATTTAAAAACCATCCCCACTTTTATATTGAAAACCTTGCCCGCGTAAAGGGCATTTTTAACCAATGAATTGACTATAACTCGTGAATGGCTCGTAGATTTCGGGAGAAATTTTAACCATAATCTATTCTAGCCAAGAGTAACATTCTTTGAAATTGGATGAAAAATAACAAAGTTGGTTTCTGAGGGGGAGGAGGGCTTATTAGAAATGAAAAAAAAAATCATTTCTAGATTATTATTTTTTTTAATTGAAACTAATGAATGACGTCAATTCATTTGAAAATAATTCTAATCTTTTTTATCCGCTTATCCTTCGAAATATAATCATTTATTATGAATATGTATCGTCAGGAAAAAAAAAACTTGCACTATATTATCTTACTTATAGAAATTCGAAAAGCTTTTTTTTTAACACCTTATTATGACAACATTTTTATCACGAAACATAGAAACTGTCATTCTATACATTAATTTTTCTAAAATAGAAAATTTACTCTTTAGATTGTAATATCAAAATATTGAATTGATGAGTAGATATTGTGATAATTAATATTTTATCAGAATAAGAGAAAAATATATGAAACACTCATTTTGTGATGACTTTATGTTTGTAATGTTTTTGAAGTTAAATGTTTAGATTTGAAAAATTGTCAGGTATTTTTTTTTGCTTCATTCGAACTTGTCGACCTTTCAAATAATTAATAATGCGTAGTGTTATAATACGTCTAGAAAATTCATTATTCAAACTTACTATGAAATTGTTGATACAGAAGAAGAAAGTTAATTTGTATACAGATTACTCTCAAGAGAAAACTTCGAGTTTATGTTTTTGTAGATCTAGACTTGGCAGATCCAGATTCTAACGAAGGAATCCCACCAATTGATTAAAAACTTTAAGGCTCATGTTTACGCTATAAATAGTGTTTAGTGAGACTAGATGAATCCTAAAAGGATTTCCTTGAATGAGCGCCTATTTGGCTAAGATATGAACATTTCAAGTTTAGGACCAAAAATATAGAGATAGATTGCCTGTTGTGCATGAATTACAATACTAATATATATCAAGACAGAATTTATTGTTGAAACGCTTATCGATAAATCATGGAGCTGTTGAAAGAATTATGCTGTAATGTTTATTTGATGATCTAGCTGTTACATAAAAGAAGTACCAAGCTTGTAGCAAAAAGTCATGCGATCGATCGTCTTTCATCACGTGTAGTGGGTGTCGAAAAGATCTATGTTTTGATTATTTTGTCGTTAGTTATTACATTTATTAAACTATTATGTATAAAAAACTAACAACTCGTGTTTCAGTTGTTTTAACGATTTCGTTGTCTGTTCTAGTTTTTTTCATCCATTACACCAGTGAATAAAAGGGTTTTTATATATGTCTACACCGCTCTCAAGATGATTTATGAGAAATGCGTAAAAGACTTCAATATATAAGGATTTTGAAAAATAGATTTTTTCTTTTGACACATGTTAGTATTATAATTGTTACACAACCGGCAATCTATCTACATTTTCGATCCTAACCTTGAAATGTTCATATCTTAGCCAAAGTAGACCCATTCAAGGAGATCCTTTTAGGATTCATCTAGTCTTACTAAGCGCTATTTATAGCGCAAACATGAGCCTTAAAGCTTTTAATCAGTTGGTGGGGTTCCCTCGTAAGTTTTTTTTTTCATGAATATTTGAGACCTTTTGTTTACATGAACAAGTGAAGGATCAAGATTTTAGTTACTTATTGGTTATTCTTAGAAAACAAAATCGGCGTACAGTTATTTCTTGTTGTTTGCTTTCCCATCAGTCAATACTAAAGAAATTAAAGCTTTTTGGTTTATAAGACATAACAAAGCTGGACTAATGAATTTTGGGGTTAAAGTTTGTCTATAGACATCTCTTAAAAATTTCAGTCTCAAAGAAGAGTTTCTTCTCGAAACATCAAATCCACAAAAAAAAACATGAATGTGCAATCAAAAAAAAGATCTAGTTTGCTTTGTAAATTTAATATCTCGAGAAGAGACAATTCTGTTTGACCGAAAATTCTAATGACTTCAAAAATCGTCAATGAACACAGTTTTAAGATAAAATTTATTTTTTTCCAGTTTCTCATAAATACTATACTAAAGATAAAAATCCAGTACAATGCCCCTAACTCTCAAAGAGACCAGTCGCAGCAGTGAAATTCAACACAGTGTTTTGAAAACCATCGTGGCAGCGATGCGATAGCTTTTCTTCATTTTGAGGTCGCGGTAGGTTTTCAACCGCGATGGATATCTTTGGCAAGTAGAGACTCTAGACGATATCTTATTAATAAAATGAAAATGCATATCTTTAAAAAAATTTTTACTTTTTTTATTAATGCATAAAAATAAAACAATAAATACTAAAATTTATTTACAACAAAGGTAACTATGGTCTTTGGGATCAACTATTAGCAATTGAATGGATTTATGAAAATGCACATTTATTTGGTGGTGATAAAAATCGAATAGTTCTAGCTGGTCATTCAGCAGGTGCTGGAAATGTTATGTTAATACCTGGTATATAACAAATTTAATATTTTTTAATTGTTTTTCCTTCTATTTATTTAGCAAGTCGTTATTCTCGTGGTATGATACGACGTGTTATATCACAATCAGGCACAGGTTTAGCACCGTGGAGTATAAATCATAAACCAATTGAATTACTTCAACGTTTTGCTGATGATATTTGTTGTAACCGTTCAAATAAAAAAGATATGATTAATTGTATTCATCAAGTATTAGAAAAAAGTGATCGAGATATTTATCATCTTCAAATAAGTCTTGCTATTGGTAGATTTATAAAATAAAATGCAACAAAAAAAAAAAAAACGTTCAATTAATATTGTATTTTTATTTCTTTTTTAGCTGATGATAATCCATATCCTGTTATTGATAATGATTTTATAAATGATACAATTGAAAATATATTACAAAGTGATATTTATAAAAATATTGATTTTTTAACAGGTGTTACATTAAATGAAGCTCTTTATTTTGCTGAATATCATATAAAATATTTTTATAATGAACATGAAAATGTTTCACATTTAAATAATAAAACTTCATTAAAAAAAGAATGTCAAAATATTAATTCAAATTTAACTACAATAAAATCATCAAATATTATATTTAATAAAAATTCAACAATAAAAATAAATTCTTTAAAACATGAAAATAATGATATAATAAATTTTGAACGACAAATAATAGATATTGAAAAACCATCAATTAATGAATTTGATATGTATCTTCAAAAGTTTGTTAAACAAAAGTATATTGATCAATATATTAAGGCAAATTTTCAACATGGACAATGTTTTATTGATAAAGTTAAAAAGAAATATGAATTACCAGGTATAAATACAATAAAAAAAAAAATAATAATAAATTTATTTTTTTTCGTATTTTTAGCTAATAATAATCAAACACAACGATTAAAACTTTTTATTGATCTTGTGTCAGATTTAATGTTTAATTATCATATGGTTAAATGTTTAAATATACTTTCTACAGTATCAAATAGAAATTCATCTATTTATGCATATATTTATTCACATCGACCAACATCGAAAGTTCCCAGTGGATATCGTGATCAACTTAAATTATTACCAGACGCTATTGGTCATTTTGCTGAATTAGGTAATTAAATAAAGAGTAATATTGTTTATAATAAATAGTTTGATTAATCATATTTTGATTGAATTTTAATGAACTAATGAAACGTTAGTCAAACTGACATATATTCATTCCTATTCTGTAATAAACAACACAATATGAAGTTATTAGCGTGAGCCCGTGCATACTGCACGGTTGTTTTCTCCTTTAACATATGACCTCACGAGGGAACATTCCCAGGTGTTGGAA